CCCCCTTTGACCTCATGTTCCATTAATCCAGTATCTGAAACCCCTTTGACCACATGCTCCATTCATTCAGTATCTGGACCCCCATTGACCTCAGTTTCGATTCAGGTCATGCAGCAGAGTTTTTTCTTAATTAGCCTCCCTCGTAGTTTTTGTTGCTGTTGACACGGCAAAATCATGGGCTAGATTCGGTGTACTTGCAATTGAAAGTCCCCTTTTTTAACTGTTTCATTGTACTGACCATCGTCTTACCCGTAAGATGGAAATGTTGGTCCTAGCTCCCAGCCCAGCACCCTGTATCCTGTGATATCGCTAAAGATACGATCCACTGCTGCTACTTCCTTTAATGCGCAGCCATTTTGATGTTTGGACAAAATTCTATGAAAAAAGCTATACATCGGATTTTTTATCATTTTGGTATTTTTATCATTTTATAAAATTTATTTTTACCATTAACTTCTTATCATCATCATCATCATCATCATCATCATCATCATCGTCATCGTCATCGTCATCGTCATTCTCATCCTCATCCTCATATTATTATTATTATTATTATTATTATTATTATTATTATTATCATTATTATTATTTGATTATTTCCGCTTGACTGTTATTAACCATTTCCAGGTCGAGAAAAAAATCTGACTTGACTGTATGAGTTGCCCTTTGGAGTGCATATTATGGGACGGTTTTAAAGGTACTTTTTTTTCAAGATGGCGTCAATTTTTGTCCCCTAAAACAGTCCCACGACGCACAGCAATGGCAAGTCGACCCAGGTTATTCCTCAGCCTCTGAATGGCTACTAGCGACTTACTTTAATTAAGTCACTAGTGCATTAAGACGGCAGGCATATAGGTAGTCAAGTTCAACTTACTCTCCATTCTTGAATCGTTGATGTCTGGTAGATACAATGAGGTCGTGCCCCAGTATGTACAGAGAACAGATAACGTCGGCCCATTGAACCAACTCACCAAGGGGTCCCCCCTTGAATGCTGCGTCGAGAATGAAGGTATTATGACCAACAGCGGCTAAGTACACAACAATCTAAGAGGAAAAAACACCCTTTTTAGTTCATAAAATAACATAATATTGATATATAGAAAAAGATAAGAAATAGGAGTGAAATGGTCACACAACAGACTATATATAGAGCTTTTAATTTGTGATGTCAGGTATTTCCGGGTGCAACTGCTCACAAAAATCGATAACATAAAGCAAAAAAAATGCTCAATGGGACTTTTTCACGCGGCAGCCATGTTGGTTTGAACAATAGTGAAGATTCCACTACGCGTGGCTTCGCATTCAAGTGCTTGAAATTAAGCTCATACGGTTTAATGCCGCCGTGTGTGGAATAAAGGTCCATGAATTAAGCCCCACCTGAAACAATTAGAAATTGTACACAATATCTTGCTATAAATAAAAAAGTTGGATTTAAAAGATTTTTATTCTCATGAGAATAAACTTTATGCTTTTCCATACGATTGACGTCACGCCACGTCACGGCGCCATCTTGAAAGGTAGCCGTGCCTTTGCATCGAAGCGAGAAGAACGGTGATCTTGCAATAATAGAGACATGTGAATACTTGTTCAAAAAAGGTCTCTATCATTGCAAGCTCACCGTTCATTTCGCTTAGATGCAAAGGCACGGCTACCTTTCAAGATAGCGCAGGGAACTGTCAGGGGGACTATAGAGGATTTGCACCATCACGTGACAGCAGCCATGTTAGATGGTACGTGTAGGAACAATACAATAATTTTACATGAGAAAGAAGTCAACTCCCAAAAGCATAGGTATTTTATTGTTCTGCCATCTATACCACAGGCAGCCCAAGCAGTATTATGGGATGGGCACTTGATGGTGGAAAACTTCTATTGGATAACGCAGCCAATCACTTGAGTTTAATTCAAAGTATTTTCTTCAGATACTCACACGTTGTCGTTTGCGACCTCCAAGATTCTCCTTCTTTTCCAGTCCTTTAGCAGCATTAACCCACTGGGACCAAGAGGACTGGGCTCTCATTCGTATCCAATCAAAGTCTTTATCATCTAGTAGCTCCAAGAGCCCCTTGATGTCAGTTTGAAGCCCTGACTGTCGAGTAAAGAAAACATAATGCTATTGCTTTTGAGATCTTCAAATTGTGACTTTGTCAGCAGACCACATGTCATTCTTTTGATAATAAAAGTATTTGTTTGAGTTGTATCCATATTCATGATCATGCGCAACCGTGCATAGGGATCACTGCTATGGTTCTTGTTCTGGTTTTATAAATACCCCAATGCGCAACCCAACCCCCCCCCCC